GACACTACCTGGTCCCCCAAACTTCGATCAGTGGAGCAGGGCCCGAACCCGTGACCCATCGGTTAAAAGTCATCTCCCTAAACCAATGAACTACCATTCCATTCATTTGTCCCTGAAAGAACAGTAATGTTAGACATAAAACTAACTAATAAATAGCTAACAGCCATCTAGAATCCACTGTAACTTAAAAAGTATTCATGGATAAGTGCGGAATGAAAAGCAACTATGTGTGAGTTTTATAAACGTTGGTACTAATTTAAGGCTTAAGCGAATCATAAAAAACGACTGCCATTCCACCAAGGGAAGGTTATTGTTTACTCTCGTTGGATCCAACTTTTCACAGTTATTTTTATAAAGGCACCAGCTATTAAAAAGAACAGTCCTGTTCATCTAACATGGATATTAGTAGAATCAAAATCTTTGTTCAAATGAGAAAAACACATAGTTTTGTCACTTCAATTTAGCCCAAAGACAAACTTAGGCAATGGAACCTACACGAGAATCAGGTGTAAATTAGTCGTAAGTTTGAATGGACCACAAAACAATTTGGATTCAAATGAGAAAACTAATAAATGGAATCACCCACCTCTAAACCTGATAATACAAATATGTATTACACTGCTGAGTAGCAGATATTTTTGTAAATATAACTAATAGTTAGGTTAGTTAACAGAATACTGCTCCCCTCGATTTTAGTGTATCAGTGTGACTCTTTTGTATTCAGCACCGAATCTTAAATGGTAGGTTATTGGTCTGAATCAAGTAGCAGCCATTTTGACAACTTATAATCCTAAGCCCTTCTACATCACTTGCAATTCCCTCCCTAGTATGCAAGATTTCCAAAAGTCCCTTCATATTTCATGTACTTCAGAAACATGGCTAGGTAGCACGAGTGTAGACATATTTGTTAATAGAATTTTGAGGGAATTGTGGAGATTTGGAAATATTTCAAGTTATTATTCATCGTAAACTGACATCAGTTGAAGGAACAAAGGAAACCTGGGAGCATTGGCCCAATGATAACGTGCTGGCCACGGAACCTGAAGGTCACAGGTTCGATCCTTGGAGGGGTCGTGGGTGCGCACTGCTGAGGAGTCCCATACTAGGGGGACGAAACAGCTGTCCAGTGCTCCCAGGTTTCCTTTGTTCCTCCAACTGATGTCAGTCTTCGATGAATAACAACTTGAAATATTTCCAAATCTCCACAACTCCCTCAAAAATTCAATTGAACTGGTGCTCATTCGTGACTACCTTCGAGAAGTATTCCCCAAGTTACAATGAGAAGTCGTGACCTGATGGTTATGAGGACATTTACTCAACAATGACATTGGGTGGTGGTTGTGCTATATCATGAGCTAATAGAAGTTGGAAATATAACGATTGGATTGTGACCCAGTGGTTAGCTGAATGGTGAGGTGCTGGTCACGGAACCTGAAGGTGTCGGGTTCGATTCCTTGTTGGTGCGGAGTCATGGGTGCGCACTGCTGAGGAGTCATACTAGGGGACGAAACAGCTGTCCAGTGCTCCCAGGTTTCTTTTGTTTCTCCAACTGATGTCAGTCTACGATGAACAACCACTTGAAATATTTGTTAATAGTCTGTTGAAATGTCCAGCTTGCTTCATATATACATGTACGCATACAGTAAAAGCTTTATAATTTGATAGTTGATATGGTTACTTGGTAGAATAAAGCATAATTTTCAGAAGAAATTCCTTTGATCATTTTCCTCTTGTATTTTTCTCTCCAAGACAATTAGATTAATAGTTTCAAATACTCCTAATTCATAATTTCTTCATTAGACTGATCTAGTCTGGGTGGTAAAACACATTTAACTCACATATGGTCGTCGATAAGTATCACATAAATAGCGTCATATATGTACAGTGAATGATTGTCTACATACTATTAAACTAACCGATATACAGTAAAAATATTGTAGACGGAAATTTACCATATTCAATTACTGAAAACATGATCATAGTGGTTATACTAAACATTTTAAGTTCTAAGATGGTTAAACTGAAATTTCTTTCTGCAAAAAAATTTTCTCATCTGTTAATTTACCCTACAAAAATCTGTTTGAAATAAATATTAAAATGATGCATGCATTAACTAAAATAATCTCTTAAGATATATCCTCTGTAAGAGTGAATATTTGATTCTATTTTCTCTGGAAAACAGTGTTTCATTACTGTATACAATATCGATTTCTCTTACAAGCTGTATCAAGTTGATCAATTAGTACGGTAGTGTATAGAGTAATACACGTATTTTCCATCTAATACAGTTTTAACTAAGCTCTTGACGCTTGTGTATTCATAACTTAAAATGAACAAATCGTCTAGAGATACTTTTTACTTCGAAGGACTAAAAGCTTCTTTTGCAGACTTATTGTCTCCGACTACCCTATGAAGTAGTATTCATCACGGACTGACATATATTGGGAATAAATGAAAACCTGGGTCTTGAGTTCGATCCCTACCAGTATCGGGGGTGCGTACTGCTGAGGAGTCCCATACTAGAACTCCCAGACTTCCTACGGTTCCTCAATTGATATCAGTCTGTGATGAATACTACCTTAAAATTAAACTCTCTATTTATCACAAAAATAGATTACATAATGATATGAAGGTGGTTGGCTCACTTATTAGAGTGCTGTTCCAAGTCAATTGAGCTTGACCCTTATTAAATGTTAACAAATTACAGAATCATCTAACCTGTAACACAGTAACTTTTAGTGAAAAGTATAGTCATAGTACTTTCATCTTTTTTCAGGATTTCACTTGGAAACAATTAGACAATGACTTCTTTGTGTTAATCTTATTGATATTCGGAATATATGAATAAAATGCAAAGTATATGAAGGCTATATATTGAATTATAGCTAATTATTTAGGCTAGAGATAGGAAAGAATTTTGCCGTTATTCTAAAGTATGGGACTTAAGTGAGTTTACTGTTGACTAGTTTGATGCCCTAACTGATATGGAAAAGACGCGAAAACAAGTACGAATGGAACGCTACTGGTTACATATAGTACACCTTGCACTAAACTCATCATTTGCAAAATATGCTTCGTTTCCTCTTCTGTTTCTTTCTTGATTTGCTCTTGATACATCTTGTCAGCAGCAACCACTGTAATACGCCTGTGTTATCCCTTGCATTGTTCTTGGCAGAATCCTTACCCATTGCTGATAATTCCCTATGATTCCTGCTACCCTCTCAATATATACTACTTATATCCATTCTTATCAGCAACGCCCACTACAGTATTTCCTTGTGTTTAATCTTGAATTGGATAACGAAAAGCATAGTCAACATAAATATTTCGCTATATCACTTTCAAACACAGAGAAAAGGCAGAAATGTTTTGGTTCTCCAGATAGAAAACATATAAAGATGTGAGTGATGACTGAAGGTGAAATGAAAATTTGGGCCGCAACAGGATTCATCCGATCCTCTAACAAATGACATACGTAACCCGACTGGTGACTAGATTTTCAATTCACTTCAATCACTATGGATTTCGCTCGACTGCCCTGTGAATTTGTGGTGCGTATTCCCATTGTCTTTCCAATCAGGGAGTCTTAGATAGTCAAACTGATAATCAATAAGATCCTACACGCTGTAATTCAGATAGATTTGGATGAGGCCATAAATTCGCACGGTAGTCAGACAAAAGGATCTCTTTACAACTCAACGTAGTATAATTGAACGGATAACAAGTGATCCATCCTCAGTCGAATAGTCATTCTTGAAGTACATAGAAGACATTTTTCGAAAAGGAACAAAGATAAAGAAAGAAGAAACGACTTTGTTTTTTTCACTAATTAAATAGTTGCATAAACAGATATTAGATTTCTTGAAATCTCCTCCTAGATGTTGACATTTATAATTGACAGAGAGTAGTAGGTCCACTTCACTAACTTTTATATTGCAGTTGCAATAAGAATTTCTTGTTTGATTCTGTATAGATTACTTGTGTGAACAGTTGGTTTCATTTGCTTATCCACTACAAGTGATAAAATTGTGATTATTGAATCCTTTTTTAATACATTTTTCTTTGATTCTGCTTATTTTTCAGTGCTTTACAGCCTGTGACCTATTACCAATGAATGCTTAACACACTGTGCGGTACGTAATACTATTTGAAGTAATGAAGTTTCTCATTGTTGTTTTGCTGGTGTTCTCTGAAATTTATATAATATCATGTTAACGCAAGTCCTACAAACTATTCGGTGGTAAAGTAGTGTAACAGTTATATGATTCCTTTATCGTTTCTCTCCGTATGGTATATATAATGCTTAGTGTCATTGTTAGTACTGCACTGAGTTACAGCGTCAACTAATGAAAATAAGTTTTAATCCTGCTTCAGAAATTAAATCTCATCAACTGATGAGATGAACCAGTTTCTTCTCTGAATGATTGAGGAGTGAATTTTCTCCTTGGTGAACTGACTTACTCTTGACTAATACCCAGTCTTTCTTCATGGTTCTTTCATCTTACATCCCATCTCTTTCAATATATTTTTAAAATCCATCTAAAGATTTCATACCTAATTCTTTATGTCATAACTTATTGTTTACAGCAACTACGACCGGAACAGGTTGGCATCAGGAAGTATAAATCATGTGCGGACCAATTGCAACCTACCCACGCATCATCATAGAACACAGCATAGAATGCCAGTCAACCCTTTACCTCAACTTCATCGACTTTGAAAAGGCCTTCAACAGAGTAGACCGAAAAGTAATTTGGCAGTTGCTTCAACACTACAGAATACCACAAACCTTCATCAATCTCATCAACAACTATTTGAAGATGCCACATACCAAGTAATTCACAATGCAAAGCTCAGCTCAGTGATGCCTTTGAAGTGAAGTGAAGTGAAGTGAAGACATGAGTAAAACAAGGCTGTCTACTATCACTCATGATATTCCTGATTGTGGTCGACTGAACTGTATCATGCACGAAACAGTGGGGAGCTGTGAGAAGAGGGGGATGGGCTGGCTGGACAGGGGAAAATATCCTGGAAGATTTGTATTTCGCCGACGATGATGATTTATGTGTGATGTGTTGTAGGAGAAACTTGAAGATGTAGAGGTGCAAACTAACAAGTTGGGAGAAGAGGCAGTGTAGGGCAGGGAAGATGGGAGTTCAAGTGAAGGTGGAGAAGACAGAGTTGATGAAGGTGCCCAACCAACGCCATAACCATCACCAACAACAACAGCAACAACGAACTGCAATCAGCGTGAAGGGGAGGAACTCGAAGGAAGTAGTCTCTTTCACCTACCTACCTTCCTACCTACCTACCTGCCTACCTACCTACCTACCTACCTACCCACCACCCTAACCTACCTACCACCCCTATCCTACCTAGGCAGGCAGCAGGCAGGCAGGCAGGCAGCATCGTTTCAACTACAGGTGGTGGCGACACACATGAGGATGTAAAAACCAGTCTGCATCGGAAAGACAGCAAGACAGGCGTTCTTCATTCACCTGAAGCCAGTGTGGAGATCTTCTGCACTCACCATAAAGCGTGAACAACATCCGGATTTTCAACACTGATGTCAGTCAAGTAAGTCAGTGCTCCTATGTGATGGTTGAGAGAGTTGACGCGTTGCGAAATGCATTTGCAACAAACTACAGACATCATACGTGAACAGTTTCCACCTACACTCACTCGATACTGAAGATCAGATGGATGGTGAGAATAATCAGAATAAGCAAGGAGGAGCTCTCTGGCTGGCTGGCTGGCTGGCAGGCAGGCAATGAACCAACGAAGCAAGAAGCTATGGCTGAACAAATATGCAGTGGAAGGAAGTGTAGATGGATTGGATTGGGGATATACTGAGAAGGCTGAGTGGGGACATCATGCGTCAGGCTAGAGTGGAGTGGAGTGGAGTGGAACCTGCATGGGAAATGACGAGTTGGGTGTCCTAGTTGAGGGTGACATGGAGGAGATGGTGTGATGAGGAAGTGAGAGGTTGTGGGCTGTAGTTTAGCCATGTTCGAAGGATTGTATAGAAGAGAGTGAATGGCGACGTGCTAGTGAAGCTTAATGTTCCATTAGGAACTCAAGGGACAAATAATAATGATAATATTGCTTACAGCAGTGTACTTGATGCACAATGATGAAAGCGACAACTATTAGGCTTCCTTATTAGTCATACTGGTCTTTTGGTTACTTTAATAAGAAGGTGATTTTAAAACAGATCTAGACTTAATAGGATGAGAAGTGAGGTGAAGCGAAGAACTTGGTCGCTACACATTTGGAAAAGCAGTATCTGGTCTGCCACTTCTTGCTGTGTCAAATGAGGCGCTACACTTTTACTTTAATCATTATGGGTCTTTCCTGACTTCCACGTAGACGATACAATTTTATCTGTCTTCTCATCATCATCCAAAATGTCCAACAAGGTTTCGTTACGCTGATGCAAATGAATATGTATAACAAGGGGAAACTGATTGAGACTGAAGATACTCTAGTTTGGGCGAAAGCTTTTTATTGGATTTGGTTTACAATTGAATTTTTTAAGACAAACCTGAGTTTTGATGCAGTCACAACTACTGGCTTCAGTCTGTCTATCTGGAGTTGCATGACCAAGCCACAACACAGTTTAGACTGATTTTCTGTTCGAGTATAAGTAGCTAAGTTTAAAGTGACTGCAGGTTTTAGGACTAAGGAATATGGTCACTACTGAATTCTGGCTAACATGTGTAATTTCAAAATGTTCGTGTTATTCGACAGATTTACATCGTGAACACGAACATCACTTGTAGTTGATTCATCAGTCTACATTTTTATTCAGACTCATGATGGAATGGATTGTTATGACTGAGTCACGGCATCAGTAGTAGATGAAATTCTTTTTCTATTACCAACTTACTATACGTCTTAAAAACTGTTCAATCAATAGATGATGATAATAATATGCGTCGTAGTGCCACTGATCCTAACAGATAGAGCAGATGTCGATAATCCTTCATAGTATATCTCATCACCAACTAGAATTCTGACTTCAATGCATTACAATCACACTGGAATTTGTAGGCGTATGATCAAGCCCTTCCTTCTTGTTGTTGCCGTTGCATTATTTGGTGTAAGTGAACTAATCAGTACACTAAACAGTCAGCTTCTTTTCGAAAATAACAGACCACAAATAAAACAATAAAATGCTCGAAAAACTCGCTTAGATTATGGTCATTTATGACCTGTCTTGTTTTTATTTCTCCAACAGAAGTTTGTCTGCACAATTTGATTGAAAATATTTATCCTTTATCATTTATTTCACTCACCTTATCATCATACTTATTTTTACTGAAAATAAAATGAGATGAAATGTTGGCTGTCTTCTCTCAATAAGACAAGAATAGCAAAAAAAAATGATGTGTTGCTGTGTCTGATGTCAAAAGGGATGTACATAGATCTTGAGATACGTACCGCACAAGTCGTTTTAAATCCTCTCCCCAAGTCCGCTTGTCTTAGTGTGGAGTACTTATATGTAAATATACAAATTATAAACAGTTCATTATGACAGATATGAAAACACGTAAACCGGTCACAAGTACGAAAGCAACATTTTCCCCACATAAAGCATGAAGCTGATTTTCACAAGGGGTATGCAATGACCTTCACTTGTCTGAATAGATAAAAAAAAGGTCGCATTTTATAGTGAACTTTCTCTAATCTTTGACCGTTTGTACCCCAGATAAATCTCATGATTTTATTGCATTGAAAAAAATCAAATATGAGTAATTTATTTCATACAATTTAATTAACAGGATGATAGTTCACACAAAAGTTGTTATCGACGTCCAGAGTGGAATACTCAGACTCGGTTTAATTATAACAGTAGTGAGAACAACATCTCCTGCTGATGCATTCGACTAAGGGACACAAAAGAACTAAGAAAAAACAATTTAGTTAAGCTAGTGATAGCATCAAGATATACATACAATACGTTGACATACCAATATACATGTATGACCAAATATTCACATTGCTCCAGGTCCTGGGACATAAGCACGCTTACAGACGCCCGACAATAGCTGTATTTCTCAACTTGAAGGCGTCATTTGACTTCGTTGATCGAGAAGTCTTATGGCAACGTCTGTCACTGAAAGGCGTGCCTAGTAAGTACATCATCTTATTGAAATCTCTCTACTCAAACACTTGTGGGCATGTTAAAGCCTATGGCGGGTTGTCCAGGGAGCTATACTCATCAAGTGGTGTCCGTCAAGGATGCCCACTATCTCCAATCTTATTTAGTTTTATCATAGATATTCTTATGGAGGTTTCCCTCTCATCACCTAATTACACAGACGTTGACCTAATCTCTGGAGAAATTTCATTAGACCTAGAATATGCAGATGACATAGTCCTGTTAGGTGAAGACGCTGACAAGATGAGAGTCTTCTGAACACTTTGAGTGGGAATTTGAGAATGTTTGGGATGCGTTTCTCACCACCGAAATACAAGTTGTTGCTCCCGAATCGGTCTTCAACGGTGCTGCAGCTAACAATAGAGAGTGAAGTGGTTGAGTGTGTTGTCCATTTCACTTACCTGCGAAGTAGGATCAACCATGGTGGGCTAGTTGCCGATGAGATTTCTGCACGGATACAAAATGCTGGATTGGCTTTTGCCAATTTGCACCACCTATGGTGCCGCCGTCATATCCCATTGTCTATTAAGGGTCGCGTGTACTACACACCAGTCCGCTCTCTTCTACTCTACTATGGCTGTGAAACATGGACATTGAAAGTGGAAGATATGAGAAGGCTTCAAGTGATTGATCACCATTGACTTCGTAGTATAGGATGTATTCTGTGGTGTCACCACATGAGTAATGCAGAAGTCAGGTATAGAGTTTTAGGGAGAAGTGGTAAATCAGTTGAAGAGGTTATGAACCTTCATCGACTGAGATGGTTGGGAGATGTATTAGGTATGCCTAGTCACCGATTGCCACATCACACAATGTTGACCGAAGTAGGTGTAGGCTGGGAAAAGACTCGAGGTGGCTAGACTAAAACATGGCATCAATGTATGAAGTGTTTGACTGTTTGTTTAAGCCATGTGAGGCGATGCAGACTGGTTGGTTGTGGTCCACAGGACAAGAGGAACCAGTGGTTGTAGACTCTAGGTGATATGGTTCAGAACCGATGTCAGTGGCACATATGTACCCCACACACACATTATCCTCATCTTAACGATGCTATATCGAATCTCACCATATTGCCACTCCTCTTTTCTTTCTTCTAGTACTTTATATTTCTTTTGACTGCTTTCTCTTATATTCTTCTTGGACCTCACTACCTTTCTAGTTGATGTAGTGATATGAGGTGTTGCAACTCAAACCGTTACGCAGAAATGTCTGGTCCTATTTTGATATTGATTGATTGATCGATTGATATATATGACTTCAGTTCACTAAATTAGCGAAACCTGATATTAGATTATGCAACTGAAATCAGCAACAAAGTGCCAAGTTGAAAACATCGAAATGAACACAACTAGTTCAACATAGCAAGTTCTTTAAATCAAAACATCAGTCTGAATTATGTTAATGGTAATTAATCTTGTGACAACTGGAATCTGATTGAAAATCAGAGAAGATAAAAAATAGGGACCAGAACCAAACAAACACTCCACAAACATTCAATGAGAATCATATAACGGTGAAAATATTTTACAATAATAACAAACAATTTATACTGGGTGATGATTGAAGGTGAGATGAAAATCTGAACCACGGCCGGATTCGAACCAGCGACCACAAACAAATCTATTGAGGTTTAAAAGTTACAAAATTTCGAAACAGAATAATTCTGTTGTATCTATTGGAGGGAACTTTCGTATCTTATCACTGGAAGTCCGATAGAAAAGTTAACCACCCTCTAAGCGTACATTCGTCTGGATGGCTGTCAACAGTTTCATTTTAAGAACCGTATATTGCACAAATAATACTCTGAAACCTCTGGTCGAGAATCCTTCGACCGAATTAATGTGCATACCCATAATTAAGAACAACGAAATCAGAAGAAATAGATCTTTTTTGAGAAATGTGCCTCCAAAATGAAGTTTTGTTTTAATATGAGCTAAATAACGTCAAGCTTCAGTTAGGCAAATTCCCAGAAAATGTCACGAATTCTGAAGTCAACTTTGGACGATTTCCACATTGCTTCAAATCAGTCTGAAGTCTTTGTTGGTCGTGTATTCGCTCATCCAATCAATCCATTGTCTATCTTTTACTGTATCTGTATCCAAATGGAGGTGTAATCATAGAAACAGGACCTTATTTGTAGATACTGTTGTGCTACTTACTGTCGAAGTAACGTAATTGGCTGTTCAATGTCATTTGGTTGGTTATTGCTTATGGCTGCTAGAAAATGATCTCAGTCTATGAGATAATCATTAAAGCTATCTAACTGCTGTTTAACTCTTTAAAAGCCTTAGTAATAAATGTTACAATATTATCGTTTTCGAATTTGTTCGTCACAGATGAGTGGCTTTAAATAAGGTTGTAATATTACTGAAATAAATGTATGTAAGGGTAAAACTTAGGCATTGTGATAGAGTATAATTCTATATTATATTGTGTATCTGATATAAGTGATAATGTAAAAATAGTAATAGTGACTGTATCAGTGTGTATATGTAAGTAATACCGGTAAAAATTCACGCAAAAAAAACGAAGATACGAATTTTAATTTTACTCTCTAATTTATGTCCATCTAAGTTATCAAATCTGTACTGGAAGTTTGTTATACACTAGTAAATTGTAAATTATATATTCATTGTAATCAATTCAATTTTCAATCTAGTCAAAATTACGAATGACTTTAAAAGCCACCCTAGGAACTGCTAAAATAAACAATCAGATTTCGGTATTCCAGGAAGAAAAATAACTCCTCCTGAAGAAAGAAACGTAATTGGTCATCTTAGTGGTTGCTTGGATGCCCTTTAAAGTCATCAGAATTCATCGTATGTGTTTATCAACTAGTATTGGCTTGTAACCGTATACCTATTATCACAGTTTTAAACGTGACAGAATACTATAATAATAGTAATAATCAGATGGTTTCAAACAATTTTCGGTACAATTTGGAATTCTCAGCATGATATTATTATTATTATTATTATTTTCCCTTGGGTTCCTAGTGGAACATACGGCTTCACTAGTACACCTCCATTCCACTCTCTTCTCTGCAGTCTTTTGAACCTGACACCATGACTGCCAACAAGCTTTCATTTCTTCCTCACACCATCTCCTCCATGCTACCCTCAAATGGGACACCCAACTCATCATTTCCCCTTTGGGTTCCACTCGAGCGCTTGGTGCATGATGTCCCCAGTCAGTCTTCTCAGTGTATGCCCAATCCATCTCCATTTTCTTCTACATATTTGTTAGGCGATAGGTTCTTGGTTGGTTTATTTCCAGCTCAGCATGATAAACTGCAACAAAAATTTACTCCTTTACAATATTTCAAGTAGTGTTATTATAAGAATTTAAGTAGTGAAACGAATATTAATAACGAGAAAATGTTACATTGTTAATTAAGTTATTGGGCGGAGATTATTTATTTTTACAAAGTTGATAAGTGAGTTCCATTCTAACACTTTTTTCGTCACATAATATTCGTACTAGGTAAAGTACAGTCAAATTCTTGTACTGAGCTGTACGAGCGTATATTCTAATGTAATTTCTTCTTCTCCTCCCTGAGAAGATGTAATGACAGAGCTGTGATTGAAGTGGATGTTCAGTTTCAGTGAAAATTACTGCAGCTGCTTGCTAGAATTTAAATGTCTGTCAACTATAGTGTTAATCAGTTGGGCCAGAGGCATAATACACCCTACTGACGGCTTTCAAAGCCTTTCGCAATATAACACAGTTCTTTGTTAGTATACCACGAAAGATCAGAGGGGAACAAAAAAAAGAATAGATGAAATACAGAAATTAATAAATTGTTAAAGTAGAGGTTGAGTTTTACCAGATAGTCTCAGTTTCTTTATGTAATATGGTAAACGAAAGATTTTTCCTACAAGTCAAAAAGATATGAGATGACTAACAGCAATCTGAAATGAAAAACTCAGTCCAATGTAGTTAACAATCGATTTGCTTTCTATAGCAATACCATCAAGGCAACAGGAGTCATGGGACCTAGGTAGCTCATACAACTCTTCCTTACGCCTGAGGCTCAAATTAACAATCTGATATTTAGAAGGGTTTAGCTTGAGAACATTTAAGAGAGACCATTGGTCAGTTCCAGACAAGAACCTGCTTAATTTAGAGCAATCCAAATGGGAGATAACTGGAATAGAAACTGTCATAGCATCAGCATACTCAATGAAATTAGTTTCAGAAGGATAATGTAAATCACGCAAAAAACAGAAACCAAGAAAGTACTCCACCTTGAGAGACACCGGCTTCAGTAAGCAGTGAAGTGAGATACCTCTCTTTACAGAAAGCATACCGTTTACTTTCAGAAAAATAAGAATGAAGCCACCTTGTAGCTGATGGTTCAGTATCAACTATGGAAAGCTTACTTAACAAGGAAAGTTTAGGAACAGAGTTAAAGTCTGATGAGTAATGTGTAATGCTAGAAAACATAAGGAATATACTTAACATCTTTGTCCAAACTAGAAATATTATAATGATGCAAGACAGTGACAGCATCTACAGTGCTTCTCCTGCGACTGTAAGTCTATAAGCCTTCAATGAAGGTTCAAGCACAAGGAGAAGTAATTTTTCCATTGCCTTCAAAAGAGGGGAAGTTATAATGATGGGTAGAAACTTAACCGGTGATTCAGAAGATGACTTAGGCGCAGCAACAACTTTAATTCGTTGAAAAAACAACGATTTGTCTGTGATCGTAACATTTTTCCCTATATATGTTGCTTAGTGAATTTTACACACTTTTAAGTAGTTACTCCATATCCGCCATCATTTATCAACAATTATTTTATTATAATTTGTCCTTTGGGTTCCCTATGGAACACAGGATTCACTAACACGTCACCATTCCACTCTCTCCTCTTCTCCACAGTCTTCAATATCTGGCTCCATCACTCACCACAAACTTTCTCTTCTTCATCACACAATCTCCTACATGGCACCCTCACCTGGAACACCCAACTCATCGTTTCCCATTTCGATCCCAATCGACGAACTGATCTGGCACCTCATATTCCCAATCGATCTTCTCAGTGTATGCCCAATCCAATCCATCCCCACTTTCCACTTCTTCATATGTATTGGGTGATGGGTTCTTGATTGGTTGGTTGGCTCATTGCCAGCCAGCCAGCCAGCCAGCCAGCCAGCCAGCCAGCCAGCCAGCCAGCCAGCCAGCCAGCCAGCCAGACAGACAGACAGACAGACAGACAGACAGACAGACAGACAAATAGACAGCCAGACAGCCAGAGAGCTCCTCCTTGCTTATTCTGATTATTCTCACCATCCATCTGATCTTCACTATCGAGTGAGTGTAGGTGGCAACTGTTCACGTATGATGTCTGTAGTTTGTTGCAGATGCCTTTCGTAATGCGCCAACTCTCTCAACCATCACATAGGAGCACTGATTTACTTGACTGACATGAGTGTTGAAAATCCGGATGTTGTTCACGCTCTATGGTGAGTGTGGTGCATTGCAGTGGATTGTAGTGCAGTAGATCTCCACACTGATTTCAGATTGATGAGGGAATGGCTGTCTTGCCGTCTTTCCGATGTTGGCTCTGACATCCTCATGTGTGCGTGTGCCACCTGTAGTTGAAACGGTGCTGTCTAGGTAGTTAGGTAGGTGACAGAGATAACTTCCTTTAGGTTTCTCCTGTTCATGGTGATTGTTGCTTCTTTCTGTTGTTGTTGTTATTGGTTGAGTATCTTGATCACCTCTGTCTTCTGCACGTTCACCTGAAGCCAGTCCCGTCTTTGCTGCTGCACCTTGTCTCTTCTATCAACTTGTTGGTTTTTGCCTGTAGATTTTCGAACTTGTGCGATATTAGATACAAATCATCAGCGAAATTTGATTCTTTTTAGGTCCAGCGCATGTCCGTCTTATCAATAATTCCAATGATACAACATCCCTTTCATTGTCATCTAATATTCTATGTACTGTCCAGCTCTATATGTATTTATCCCAGGTAGATATAATACATGCAGGACAACTGCTCACGAGTGTTTTACAACTCTTTTGAAAGTATTCGTTAATGCCTGTATTTTATGTTGTTATACCGGGTTGAACTGATCGATTTTTGTTGGTATGTGGTCTCGTATGCAGCTGCCTGAAGATTCATTAATTGTCAAATAAGACAGAATGTCCAGCCGATGTTCCACCGCAAGCTACCACCAAGCAAATTATCTTCTCATAGTAGTTGCAAACTGCAGTAATGCAGTGCATCGCATTTTTCATAACTTATTTATCATCTAGCACGTGCTAAATGCTTCCATCTAACCGTAAATCGGTTTTACAGATGTACTGTAGAGAATTTCGATGACTCTTCATGTATTGGTAATCCAGTGATTTTTCCGATTAGGTGAAGTCCTTTAGTGGGTTGTTGCACATATGCGAAGTATTTACATTACGTTAGGAATTCACTCCCTTTTTCTAGCTAACTAGAATTGTTGAGAATTAAAACGAGGAGCTTCATGATTTGTCATCAATTAAATTACCTAGTCAGATCGTTTTACATTTGTTCTCTAAGTAAGGACAAGTCATCATCTTCGACGCAGTTGGTTATATACAACAAGTTAAATGGTATGTTGTATGGATAAATAAGACTTCAGAAGTAAGATTTTACGAGAAATCCAATGCTAATTCTCATGTCTGTTCTGTCAAGGAGACTCACTAGATATTCTGTAAAACGTTTTGTACAAATAGTCTGTATTCCCCAAATCACTGGATGTTATGTACTGTTACACACTGAAATAATGGAAATAACCTCGAAATGGGTTAAATGAGTTATGCTCATATCGAAGAGATCAGGTGACATATATCATTGACGGAGGTTAATTAACTAATGAAAACGTCAACCATTAGAATGAAAGTTTTTGAGTCGCCTCCTCTTTTTGCATCTAAAAAAGCCGAATCAAATCCACTCAGATACCTTGTGCACATTTGTGAGATAGGCGATGAGCGACACCGACTGTGTAAGGGCTAGCTGCCCAATACTCAGTAGGTGAAGGAGTGTTGAAAAGTTAACTCTCTAAATCAATGAACCACAAATCCACCTCTTCTTCTGTGTAAAATGATATTACTTGAAGTATTTCTGAAAACGTAAATAATCCACGTCTCACTAATCTCTACGTTGCTATTCGACAACGATGAAAATAAAGTCAAAAACCTAGATTTGAATTCATTAGTATGGTGTAATCACATCTTTCAGTCATTCAAATTTTTGTAATGTTGACTTGTTCATTTCAGTGGTAGGTGGCAGTCAACTACCTACCCCATCTTCATCGACTTTGAAAAGGCCTTCAACAGAGTAGACCGAAAAGTAATTTGGCAGTTGCTTCAACACTACAGAATACCACAAACCTTCATCAATCTCATCCAACAACTATATGAAGGTGTCACATACCAAGTAATTCACAATGCAAAGCTCAGCTCAGTGATGCCTTTGAAGTGAAGTGAAGTGAAGACATGAGTAAAACAAGGCTGTCTACTATCACTCATGATATTCCTGATTGTGGTCGACTGAACTGTATCATGCAAGAAACAGTGGGGAGCTGTGAGAAGAGGGGATGGGCTGGCTGGACAGGGGAAAATATCCTGGAAGATTTGTATTTCGCCGACGATGATGATTTATGTGTGATGTGTTGTAGGAGAAACTTGAAGATGTAGAGGTGCAAACTAACAAGTTGAGAGAGGAGGTAGTGTAGGGCAGGGAAGATGGGAGTTCAAGTGAAGGTGGAGAAGACAGAGGTGATGAAGGTGCCCAACCAACGCCATAACCATCACCAACAACAACAGCAACAACGAACTGCAATCAGCGTGAAGGGGAGGAACTCGTAGGAAGTAGTCTCTTTCACCTACCTACCTTCCTACCTACCTACCTGCCTACCTACCTACCTACCCACCACCCCTAACCTACCTACCACCCCTATCCTACCTAGGCAGGCAGGCAGGCAGGCAGGCAGCATCGTTTCAACTACAGGTGGTGGCGACACACATGAGGATGTAAAAACCAGTCTGCATCGGAAAGACAGCAAGACAGGCGTTCTTCATTCACCTGAAGCCAGTGTGGAGATCTTCTGCACTCACCATAAAGCGTGAACAACATCCGGATTTTCAACACTCATGTCAGTCAAGTAAATCAGTGCTTCTATGTGATGGTTGAGAGAGTTGGCGCGTTGCGAAACGCATTTGCAACAAACTACAGACATCATACGTGAACAGTTGCCACCTACACTCACTCGATAGTGAAGATCAGATGGATGGTGAGAATAATCAGAATAAGCAAGGAGGAGCTCTCTGGCTGACTGACTGGCTGGCTGGCTGACTGGCTGGCTGACTGGCTAGGTGACTGTCAATGAACCAACGAAGCAAGAAGCTATGGCCGAACAAATATGCAGTGGAAGGAAGTGTAGATGGATTGGATTGGGGATATACTGAGAAGGCTGAGTGGGGACATCAGGCGTCAGGCTAGAGTGGAGTGGAGTTGAGTTGAGTGGAACCTGCATGGAAATGACGAGTTGGGCGTGCTAGTTGAGGGTGGCATGGAGGAGATGGTTGCGCTGAAGAAATGAGAGGTTGTGGGCTGTAGTGTAGCCATGTTCGAAGGATTGCATAGAAGAGAGTGTACTGGAGACGTGCTACTGAATCCGTATGTTCCATTAGGAACCCAAGGGACAAATAATATCATAAATGTATTGGATGGTGCAATCATACCTTTCAGTTATTCAAGTTTACATAAATTTTGTAATATTGACTTGTTCATTTCAGCAGTAGGTGCCTAGTACTGAACAGCAAGGATTAGTTTACTTTTCATTTACTTACTGTTTTGATTTCCTATTTGGAACTCCACTAGAAATTTTGAAAAAAAAGGCATTCAATCTTTCCAATGATTTGAAAAATGATTTTGCCTGTTGTATGCACGAATACATTTTAATTGTAACTTAATTTCGAAAAGTGAAACTCAATAGGTAGTTAATTTATGTCTCGTCTACATCTTACTATGCAATTCCAGCTTGATTGGAATTGTAACAGTCGTCATGTCACACTCCACGTGACTAAAGTTACCAGATGACTATTCACTTCAAGTTCAGAAAAAATCACAGTCTTTATTTATTTGCTTAGTTCTTCTACCTTTCATGGAAAAGCTTCACTTGTCTGTTATACATGAGGTGGTTTTAAATGTTTCTTAGTTAGGGTCTTGTAATTGAATTCCTTGCTCTAATGAATATTCGATTCACAGTAATGTGAAACAATAATCCTTTCTTGGGGTAATGTAACAAATTAGGACACTAGATAAGATGATTTGGACACACAGCGGCATGTAAAACTTTAATGGTATGCATGAAATGTGAGGAATGTATCTATTTCAAAATGTACGTGCTGTGTCCACATGCTGAGAAGAACAATTTTGTTTTTAGGACAAAATTCATTACTTTCTCGATTTTCTAGTGTTTTAAACCAATGTTACAATTGACTGTATAATGAAAGCACACAGATCGTTTTATTATTTCAAGTATAAGAAAAAATCTGAGAAAAATCTCAGCTAAATTTTTTTCCGATTAGTTTACTCAGTTACTCAGTGACTTGATTTACACTCATCAACTATTAGTTCTTACAATCTATTCGAAGTACAGTTGCTAGGAAATTTGCTACTAGTATGGAGTAATAACCGTTAGCATTAAAAAAATTTTTTTTCAACTAGACTTCTCTTTCCATACCAAATCAACGTAATACAGTCATAAATTGTTCATACTCAGTTTTTGTGATCATATAGGAGAGTATTTTTACTTGACTCTCATGACGACTATCGATCGTATTCATTGGTGCAATCTATTTGATGCTATGTAGAGATAGATCGGCTTTAAGGTAGTATTCATGACACATTAACCTCAATTAGAGAACCAATGGAAATCTGAGAGCACTGGACAGCTGTTTCATTTTGGTATAGGATCCCAATGGTGCACATCATGACCACCAGAGACCGAGTCCTCTGCGTTCAGGTCCTGCGGTGAATACAATCCTATTCAGTCATTGGGTTAGAGTTTAATGAATCACTGACTCCTGTTTCTATCAATTCATAATATAGTGCTACCATGATCCACTGTCACTCATGGGCATCCAGCCCATTCCCAAGTTGGTTGACCCTACAAATCATTGTTTCTCATTGGACCTTAGAAAAATCCATTTTGAAGCGTGTCACTAATGATCAACAGATAGAAATTTCAACTAACAGTCTGTCAAGAATAGTAAGAACAGATTTTCTTATATTTTTCTCTCCCAACTTATTTGTCGGTAGTCACTCGGCTCATAATAAACTTTTTATATCACTGCAAATGTATTCATGAAATAAAAGACTTTACAAATGGACTTGGTTTCATTATTAAATTTCTCCAACAACCTTTTTGGCAAATATTTCCCTGGAGAAAATAATGGTCATCTTAATTTATTTCAAACTATTATAGATTTTAGAAGTAGTATTCATCATGGACTGATATCAGTTGGGGAACTATTGAAAACCCGGGAGCACTGGACAGCTGTTTCGTCCTAGTATGGGACTCCTCACCACTACGCACCCACAACACGGCTACGCATCGAACTCGGGACCTTCAGGTTTCACGGTGAACGCGTTAACCATTCAGCCACTGGGTCGGTTTCCAGTGGTTCACAATTTCCAACTTATGTCAATTCACGATAGAGCGTGACTGTCACCCAAGGTCTTCAGTTAGCATCCACTTCACATCCGAATGGTTGACCCCACAGGTGCGTAGTGGTGAGGAGTCCCATACTAGTTGGACGAAACAGCTGTCCAGTGCTTCCAGACTTTCAGTGGTCCCCCAACTGATATCAGTCCATGATGAATACTACTTCTAAATTCAATTATGTATCATTTTAAGTAATATACGTAAATTTCGAAAATGAAAAACAGGTTGAATTGATTTAAAAAACTTCGGTTTTGTTTCGTACTTTCAGTAAAAGTTTTTAATTCATTGTCTTCTAAATGATGAATATCATTTCATTGTCTTTATGAGCAGTGTAACGATTCACAGGTAGAAATAATGATTATATTATTTTCACACTGAAAACTTTAGTCTTGCACACCCAGCAAGTGTGCTTGTCAGCGATTAATGGTCTATGAAATATCACCTTCAAAATCATCGTTTGATTGATTATATCTTGATAAACATTAAAAAAATCACTTTCTGTTATTTAGGTTTCCACTTTAAAAAAGTCTAATAGTAGAATAGACTCATAGTCTCTTCTTTCAAGCTTAATGATTTAGGAAACTCGCTTCCGTGAAGTTCTATCAGTAATCGTCTTACAAATGCAAAGTATAAACTACAAGTAACAAAAAAAACAATAGTAAGTAATACCCTTTATACAAGAGGTGGTTATCGGACCTCATTGGCCTAACCGATGACGTTTGAAGCGATGGGTACGAGGTTCAATTCTCAGCGTGAACTATATTATTCACTGGGGTGCAGATACATCTCGCTAATGGATTCTAAATAGGATGAAACGAGCGTCCTGGATTCCACTGTCAGCGACAACCGAGTCAATTATATATTCTTCATTTAAATTTTGAGGGGGTTGTGGAGATTTGGAAATATTTCAAGTTGTTATTCATTGTAGACTGACATCAGTTGGAGGAACAAAGGAAACCTGGGAGCACTGGACAGCTGTTTCGTCCTAGTATGGGACTCCTCAGCAGTGCGCACCCACCAGCAGGGATCGAACCCGCGACCTTCAGGTTCCGCGACCAGCGCGTTACCATTGAGCCACTGGGTCAGAATCCAATGCTCCATATCGTGAGCTAACAGAAGTTGGAAATATTCTTCATTTATAATAATTCAGGGAAATCGACAGCATTTCAAATTAACCATACACATCATGAACAAATAACCTACTGAACTTATTGTCTAAATAGACAACCTTTCTAGTACATACAAAACTATGATCTCCATTCTGTAGGTAACAGAATTTCTCTAGCATGATATGCCTCTAAAATATGTGAACGATGCATTCAATGGAACAATGACAAAACTTAGAAGTCAAAATTTTACCATCTAGATTTTCTTGAAAATATACCACTGACTTGGAGTATCATGACTGAAGTTCTATACTAGCAGTCATTTCATTCCTTCTGGATGTAACTGAAACCTGACGTGTCTAAAGTGTTAGTTAGGCTCCACTTGACCTTATAGTGGCTATGCAGTTATTAACTCACCATAAAGTTCACACGTAAGAATCGACCTATTGGTGTTTATATTACAAAATGGAATTGTAAAAGTCTCATGCAAATAGAAAAAATAAGAGATAAGGGTCAAGAAGGATTAGTAATAAATCTTATTTTTTTTTACCGAAAAGTCTACTTATTACAACAAATTAGATTATCAAAAATCCCATCTAAACAAACTTGACTATAATTTATTCATTTCACACCTTTTTATCTATCTCCTATGATTTACTAGTGAGTTATTTTTAAAATTTTAGTCAAATCTATTCTAACTCTATTCAAACCTATTTTATTGGAGGGAAAAATGAAGGGATACATGAAATGCTTCGCTCCCACGAAGTATAAAGAAGTTTTTCCACTTATCGGCTTTGTCTATGTATATATGCATGCCTTGAGGCTATAACAAATATTCATGAATAGTTGTAGTGACCTGATAATAACAAGATGTAAACTCTCACCTATCATGGTGTTAAAGTACCCAGGAATAGTTCTGTTTTTCAATACAGTGAAAACTTATGATAAAGGAAGATGAAAGTTGACTGTTTGAATTCATTTTCCCCGTTACTTGTGTGTGTTGGAATCACTGTAAAATGGGTGCAGCCGTTTATATGAAACTGAAACCCGGTCACTGTGGTAGAATATAACTTCGTTTCTGTTAATTTACTACATATATCATAGTAAAACGGTACTAGTTACTGAGTTATGACTCAGTCGCACTGTATTGTCCATAGTTGTATCGATGTAACTCTACAACTCTGAGACATGGTTTATAGAATTCTAATTCTCTCCCTTCATTTATAATATAGGTAATAGAATTTTCCGCGTATGTATGGAATAGGTGCTGAGTCGTTCCTGGTGCACGTATTTGGTGTTTATTGGATAAACAAAGTTTCAGTTATCAATCTCTTCTTCTACCTCACTAAGTTGGTTCTA